CACTCATTTCTATATATATGCAGAATAATGCAACCCTCCCTCCAATCCTTCTCTACAATTTATAATCACCTAGAAATGTTACACAGCTAATCTCAGCCTTTACTTTAAAAAGGGAAAATAAAAGGAAGCCTTTTCCTTTGTGAAGACAACCCTGGTGTATCTACAGATTTGGGGTTATTTATGATTCTCTGTACAGTTGCCTAGAGCTAGTATTTGGTATCTGTGAAAACCATAGCCATGTGTCTCTTCATTTTGTGGAGGATCCATGATTTTTTCATGGTTATGGGGGCAGAGTTGCGTGAAATGCTACCAACGACAGCCTTCTCAGCTGTCTGAATCTGAGCCACTTCCTCTGCTCTGAATCTCTTTCAGTGTCTGGCCTCAAAAAGGAATAATTCATGAGCATGATAAAGACAGTGTGGTCCAATGGCCTAGGCATAGAATCGAGAAGAAGTGACTGCTGCGTCCTAATTCTGACTCTAATATGGGCTTCTTCTGTGGCCTTGGTCAATACAATTAGACCAAAATAATTTAAAATGCCTTTTCCATATGGGTAAATTCATTTTTGGATGCCTAAACTGATGGTCTAATTATTGAGACCTACTGAGAACCCACAACACCCAGTTCAGTAAGTGAATCCTGAGGGTGCTTAGCACTTCTGAAAAAAATCAGTTCCTTGTTGTCTCCAATTAAACAGGCCAAGAATTATGGCAAACAGCATCTGTGGATACTTTTGAAATTGTTGTCCTTAATCTCTCTGTCTTATTTTTCCAAACTGCCAAATGAAGATAATTACTTACCTTATGGGGTGTTGTGATTATTAATTAGTTAATGTTTGTAAAATGCTACAAAAGTGTGAAAACTCACCAAGATCTCATGGCTCCAAGACCACTGGTTTATTTAGATAAATGTTCTTTGCAAAATATTTTTAAACTTTTGCCTGGACCTGGGTACAAGATGGGCTCCATTCCTCCAAAAGCCCCATTCCATCCCCAACCTCATATTTTTTTCATGTACATTCCAAGGCTATTAAGCATGTCACTGAGAACATGGTTGGTGTTGCCTCTAAATGTTCAACCTTGCTTATGAGACCCTAAGCAGATTGATACCTCTTCTACTCTAAATCTTCTTTGTCAGCAACGTTCCCAGTGTAATCAATTGAGCAGCTAATATTTAGTGATGGGCTTCTGTGAATCCAAGTTGCTATCCTGGATATCTCTGCTAATGGTGTTGGCAAATGATGGACATGACTCTGAAGCTATTTCTAATCTTACTGGAGAATACTGTGGTGACTCTGGTGCCACTTCTAATGAGTTGGCAAGAATTCTTTTGAAGCACTAATTCTATTAGCATGAGTACTTCCCATATACTACACTCTGCAACTAACGTCTGGGGAAGAAGTAATAAGGATAGCTCAGGGTAGAATTTACGTGAGGGCGAAGCTATCAGACGCCTCTGCATTAACATGGTTTCTCTCCCTTGGGCTGTGTTTTTTTTTTTTTTTGGCCAAATGTTTTGGTGGAATCCATAACAAGATGAAAAATTGTTATGTGTTTCATTTATTGCCTCAGTTCCTTTGTCTGATCCTGTCACCTCCATTACTATTGTTTTCCCTTCATCCTACTTCTTTCATGTAAATTTAATGTAGTATAAATTAAATGTAATTCTTATATTTGCTCTTGCTGTTAGAAGCCTTGCTCTGCTGAATCACCATCTTTCACCAGAGTCTCTTGTTTGGACCAGCTTCCGGCAGTGATACAACCAGGTTTATGATGGAAATGGTCAACTAAGTAACAATGGCAATGACAGAAAAAGATGAAGTTTTTATAACTCAGAAGATGCTCTCAGAACAACAAGATATACAATCTTCAGAACTTGTGATCAACTGAGATGTTTTATACAGTACAAGTGCTGCATCCTTTCATTGTTGGTATCCTCCATCCAACCCCCACCCACTAGCTCTCGTTGTTTTGATCTTTTTTGCCAGGGAGAGTACAGACTGGGAACTGGTGAGACCTGGATAGGGAAGGTAGGTGTCTCAAAAATTATCTGAGGACCTAATGGTTTAAAGCACGACTGGGAGTCATGACTCCATGGATTTTTTTCTGCCCATGACTTGCTATGATGGCATTGTTCAAGCCATTTACCCTTCCGCAATGGGTTTTGTGAGGCTACATTGTTTGCAAAGTTCTTTGAGATACTCAAATGAGATACATTGTGAAAATGCAAAGTAGCATTATTAGTTATTAGTTAAGTGAGTCTGGCAGATGACTGATTGGCTAATGCCTTTGAGAGAGGACTCTCCTACAGATAAAAAGTCTAGGGTATTAAGGTGGTCATAGTCTCCTTCCTGGTTTCTCTGACCACTGGCATTTAGCCAGCTATGGTTTAACATTTTACCAGTGGTTCAAGTGACCGCAGCACAAGATTTAAAATAATTGTGATTTAAACCAACATGAAGGGTTCCCCGACTGCTATAGGTCTGACTCTCTTTTCAGTGAAACAGGGATAAATCAAGAGTAACACATTTGATGTCAATGGAGTTACACCACTCTAAAAAATGCAAACGAGGGCAGAATGATGATCCTCCATCTGCCAGCTGACAGTTTTTGAACAGACGGAGCATTTCACAATTTCACAACTCCTCCCTCACTCCCAATATCAGAAAAGGAAAAGGAGGAGATAACAGTCATTTCTAGCCAAGAAGCCTCTAATTCAACTTCTGAGAGAGTTCAGACTGGCAAGTGTTGAGGATTTGGGAATCATAGGGATGCCCATTAATCACACTGATAATGTGTGTGGATTCATGCAGTTGAAGCCATATAATTAAACTGCTACTCAGAATTTAGCAGTATGTGCTTGAGGAAGTCACACAGGATTTCTGTGTGTTTATCTGCTTCACATACATGTATAGATAAACCTGAGTAATTCTTTTGTTCTTACACTGCTAGCCAGCGTGAATGCCAAACTGATCCAAGACAAACTTGGATGTGTGCCTTCATTTTTTTTAATAAATAGTGTTGTCAAGTAATTTTCAATTCGTAAAAGAAGTTGGGAAGGATTAACTAGTTCAAAGAGCGGATATTTGGAGAACAAATTGCTCAGCTTGCTGCAGTTACAGTCCCCATATTACACACTAAATGAGATCAGTGAAAAAAACTGGACCACGGTTTTTGGGGGTTTTTTTTACCTTACTTTAAGTATGTAACTTTCATGTACAAATACCAGAAAGTAAAATAAATATTGCCAATGACAGAATAAATATTTTATTCCATGCAGTGTGGAATATGAGTACTTTGTACTCCCAATTTCTTTATTGTCTTTAGCATATTTGCCAATAAAATAATTGAACAGGGGAAGTGGATAGCACTGTAGATTAGTAATAGGCTATTTAGCCTTTCACTTTCAGGCTGCAGGGTCCATTATAATCCTGGGATAGTACTGACAGAAATTTGTTATTATGACTAGCCATAGGCATCTGCCTGATTTGTTGTTGCTTAGGGTTGTGTCACTTTGCATGTCCATCCCTTTACTGTCCTTCATTCAAACCCCATCCACTGGTTGGCCCACTGTGGACCCCCCCTCATTTATCTTGGAAGATATATTTGGGGAACCAACCCTCCATAGCCTTCAAGTGACAAATGCACTGATCCCACTGCATGTCTAATATATGCCAGTGACCTAGAGATGGAAGATTCTGCATCTTGTACCCAATTCCTCAGAGCTATCCAGTCATCTGAAAAAAAGTATGTCATCCATCAGACTAAATTACACTTAGGTTGAAAAGGCTATGATCATGCTCTCTTTGTCTTTTGATTTATAGAGTATGCATTACCACCTTCCAGTACCGTTCACTGTGATATGATAAGGCCCCACACAGAGTTGGGAAGGAGCTTTAAATGAACAAGAAGAGCAATATCTCTGCCATCCCTAGAGGCCAAAATCCTCACATGACCCTTCTTCTGCCCTTTAGTAAGAGAGCTCTGACATTGTGACAGCTTTAATAGTAGCCAAGAGGCAGAACAAGATCTTTGCAGTCCATCTTGTCTTTCTAAAATGCTGAGGGGTATAGGGGGGAAAAACACACATGAGTAGTAATACCAGGACCCAAGAAAAGAAAAGCAAGCTTTAAGAACTATTAAATATAAAAGCTATTAAATATAAAAGCTTAAATAACATAAGGGCTGTAACACAAACCACAAAGCCAGGATATTCCGTTAGAGCTCATTCGGAAACTACATTAATTTACAGCATTCTGAAGCTTTGACTTTGAATTTCAAATATTGTGTCTAGTTTGCGTCTAAATGTTAATCATGTGTTTTGGACTTACATCGTTTTCTTAATATGTTTTTGTCTCCTTTTTAATTTTTTTTGTAGAAAGGTTCTTAAAAATGGGCTGATGTCAGCAAGTAGGCATACACATATTTAGAATTAAGCAGAAAAAATAATAAATATAGAAGATCTGGAGACAAGAAATGTTCCGTCTATCCTAAAAAAGTAGACATATCTACACAGTTAATAATAATAATAATAAATACAGGAATAACAGTATCTTCCATTTATAAAGCACCTTTAATCCCAAGCAATTTACAAAGTAAGGGCCTGATTCTTCACCAGTGAAGTCAATGGAAGTTTAGCTACTGATTTCAAGGGGACCAGGATTGGGCTCTTTAATTGATATGTACCATATTCAGCGGGATCCCTTCATCCATTACTAAAATGTGGCCATCTCTGAAGGAGAATGTGGTAGCTGTTTTACAACTCAGAGAAAGTCTGCACAACAATTTAGATTGGGAAATGAAGAAAAACATCTTTTAAAGTTTAGAAAAATAACATGCAACTGATTTTGTGTGAGCTCTGTACTTTAACCCCTCCCCAAAAAACTAAACCGACCAACAAACAAAATCCTCTCTTAAAAATCTTTCCCCTTCTCTTCTCCACCCCCCCCAAAACAGTCAAAGCTTTACATGAAGGTATAAATTAGAAACAAGGTTACTCACCGTGGAGGAGTCACTGCTTCCGTTCCCAAGCGTAGCTCCCTCAGCACAGGTGGGTAGGTGGGTAGAAAGTTGACTAGCCCTGCCCCCATCTATGACATCACATTCTACCTCATAAAAGGTAGTGAAAGTGCTCTGAACTCCAGTCTGATTTCCGAGAGATACAGAAAAGAGAGAGTGAGAGAGAGAGCAAGAGAAATATTGTACCCTAGTGCAGAGGGGAGAAGAGGAGAAAATGTGTGCTGAAGGAGCTATGCTTGGTAAAGGAAACAGGGACTCTTCCATGGTGAGTAACCCCACTGTGAGATTCCTCTCACTTGCTCCCTTACTACAGGTAAGAAAAGTACTGAACAATTTGCTAAGAGGGGAAAAGTGAGCTATGGTGCTGTATGAATGATGAAAACTAGAAGGGCCAGGAATGGCTACCCTGTTGAACATTGATTGCACAAGAGTGGACTAGGGAATTTGGCAGAGGGATTAAAAAATCACATTTTTGTGTATCTTTTTAAACACTGGGAATGCACATATAAAGGTGACGTAAACAGTTGGAATTCCACCAACTTCAATGTGAGTTACATACATATACACTAGGGTTGACTTTGGTCCATACACAAGTCAGAGGAGAGTTTTGGCCAACTGTTTTAGAGAAATCAGATTAGAGGGCAGGGAACTTTCACTAGCATGAAAGTCCAAACGTGGTCAGGGAGAGTCAACTTTCTCTCACCTGCCTGCCTGAGCTGAGAGAGCAAGTGAGGGGAATGGTAAACATGCTGGGCAAACATTTATTTACAAAGCACACTTTAAAGTATCAGCAAATTTACACAAAGGTGAGAGCTTTAGAGAGTGTATATTTTAGTCTAGGAATTACACACAATGGCACCTTCTAGACTATTCTCTCAGAGAAAAAAAACTTCCCTATAACCAGAATTGTGGTTTACAAAGGGAACGTTCATTCTAATTCTCTCTAAATGGAATTTTGCTCTATCAAATTCTGCATAAAGCAGGTTTTACAGTATATATTCCCATTATCCATTACAGTTTTGATTTTCTTATTAACCCAACTAGGCATCCCAGCTAAAAAATTAGTATATTTACTATGGGCTAAATCTACCAGACTAACTCTTATTGGGTAGCACCTCCATCAGTAGGTAGCCACATTGCTCCCAGAGTAAGGGACTACTCAATGTGAGCAAGAGCGGTAGAATCTGGTCCGATTTTTGTTGTTGTTGATGTATAAGGAATGCTCTTAAGAGTCAGAATTATAAAGTTACACTGAGCAAATATTGATATTTTCCCTTAGGAGCCCAGTTGCTACAAGGATCATGTAAATTGTTATCTACCCAGGATTATTTTTCAGTTTCACTAATGATTAATGTACATCCTTTGCTCTGCTTGTGTTGGTTTTGGTTTCCCTCCTCTTCTGCTACAGCAAAAGGAAGTCTTTTTGATTAATGCCTACTACCAATCACTTCATCTAATAACAGAGGTCAAGGCTATTTCCTCTTTATCTGAACAGCTTTCACTACATTTGGAAATGCAACAGCATATTTGTAATTTTTAACATTCAAAGAAAAAATAAAAAAAAAAAAAAAAGAGCAAGAACAACCTTACAACCTTGATCAGTTCCTCCAATCTGGCTTGTTCTACAATCTTAAGCAAGAGCTACTGTAACTGTTAGAGGCGAAATATGAGTTCAGGACCCAATGCAAAACTAGGCTGCATCTGAATGATGCAAAGTGATGACGGGTGCTGTAAATTTAGGTTTATAATTGAATTAAGGGTTAGGATTTCTAACTGGTTCCTGGTTAAAGGATAATGTCTTTCAGCTATGTCAGTGTTTAAACAGGGAAAAATAACTTTTCTGCCTTGTAATAGGACTGGATTGAGCTATGTCCATCTGTACCGTATGACCTGCTGCTAAAGGCTTTCCACATTTTGGTGAATCTTCAATGAATTGGTGGAGACTTCATTGTTACCTTTTCTAACCAATATGTGTTATTACTAATCTGCCACATGGACAGGGAAAATTGAGCTTTTAAAGGTTTTTGAGGTAAAAGGTAACTGCTGTAATCCAATCAGATCAAAATCCATAGGATTAAGGATTATTTGTCTTGACCATTGCACTATTGTTGTTTTTGCCAAATGAAGTAGGAGCATAATCTAAACTCTTCAGCAGACACCAGAACTTCTGAGGCCCAAGCAAATAGTAGTTGGAACGGTAAGACTAGATTTTGTGGGGAGATGCAAATTGTCATTTAAATATTACCCTCAAATGGAAATGCCATAGCAGAGAACCTTCTAATGGATGGTGATGGCCAAATAAATTCTCCACTAATAACCTATTATTAAAAATGAGGCCATCAGATCCCATAGTGATAGCAAGGTATAAATACCTAGAAAGATTAGGTTTGATGATAGACTATTAGAAAATGTGAGAGGGCATTATTGGTTTGCACTGTGGAGGCCACACCTGGTGTACTGCTTTGGGCCACTCAATATTGGACAGACTTTGGTTGAGAAAGAAGAGGAAATGCAGAGAAGAGTAAAACAATAATGAGGGGCTTGGAGGGATTGATTTAGGAGAATATACATAAAACTTGGTTAAACGGAGAACTAAGGAAGAGCTACTACAATGAACTAAACACACTTGCAGGACAGTATATTTCAGAAGAAAGAAATTACTCCTAGTGTGCCAAAGAACTATAACTATGAGTAACTGGATGAACTTATGCAAAGTTGAATATCAAGAGGAATTAGATGAGGACTTTTAGGTTGTCAAATCATTTCCTAAGGGAAGTGGTTGCAGTTCTGTAGCTTAACAAGGCTATAAACTTAGTTCAACTAATGATTTGACATCTTGCACCTAAATGTCTAGCAGCCAGGAGGTGCATTTGTCCAGGTTTGGTTTCACAACAATCATCGGTCAGATAAAACAACAACAAACTTGCGTAATAAGAATTTGGCAGAAGGTAATAAATGAATAGGCTCTATTCAGGCATTGGTGGGTGCCACTGATGTAAAGTTTGAATGCTTTCCCTCAAGATTGTGGAAGGCTGAGAAAAATGATGACTGTTTAGAAATACCAGTCCATAGATGTGCTATTTTTCCAGCTAAGGAAGATAAAAACTGATATACCATGAGAAACTCAAATGACAACTTGAAATAAAAGATCACATTCAAGGCATGTCAAGGTGCCAGGTTGATTAGGGTCACTAAAGGTCAAGACAGAGACCTTAACTCCACACCCCTGAAAAAAAATTCTGTTTTGCTGTTGTCGTGGACTAAGTTGGTTTTGATGGATGGATAATGAAATCCATCTCATTCATCATATATTATATCCAAGGAATGGCCAAACAGATAATATCCCATATGACACTAGATAGAACATGCAATTTCTGAAAGTTTTTTAAATTGGCAGATTACATGTTGAATTTAGTTATTGGTTTGTAAGAGAATTCGTGGTATGGTCTATTAGCTCAGGGCTGGATGCTGTCAACATACCCAGATTAGTCTAAAGATCTAATAGGGCCTTTAATGAGGGCAGGGCAAAACATTTGAATTTGTTGCCTCATTTTCCCCTTCTGTAAAACTGGGGTACTACTACTTACCCAGCTAACGGCATGTTCACGTTCAACAGTTGCTGTTGAAAATATCCAACAGTACACAGTTCTAGGTTGTATCATTTTTAGGGTATTTTAGTAGGATTGGTCCCATGTCTGTGTCTTAAATCAATAAATATTGGCCTCACATATAGAGAGTTGGTTTGTAATTGAAGGCTAATGGTGTGATGTGGAGGATAGACATATGTTTTCCTTTCTCCTGAGAAGTTCATGAATAAAAGCAGCCAGATTGCATCTGGTGACTGGAAAAAATGACTTAAGAAGCATGACACATAAGAGACTCTGAACTTTCCTAATGCAAAGGCTGATTTGCTTCTTTTTTCTTCCTAAAGTTATTCCTACATAGTTTGTGTGATGGAATTAAGTTTCCCTGGTGAGTTTTATTGAGTGTTTTATATGCTGTTGTAAGTATTTTCACTCAGTATTTGCGATTAGTTGGAAAAACTGTGTGAAGTTTCTCCTTGAGGGTATGTCTTTGTGTTTGTGTGTGTTATTCATCTGCAATGAAAGTTGTCAAGAACTGTAATTAAAGGGAAAGAGTTTGAAGAGTCTAGTCTGAAGTCATTATTTCTTTAATATCACATAGAAGATCACTTAGCAGTATTTTGGAAGTGGGATTAAGTCACCACTACACAGATCAGAGTGAAATAACCTGGTAGAACTGTAGTTTCATTGTATATTATCAATCAATTCTGATTTTATCCAAAAGTCTCCTTCCATTATTATTTTAAATCTTTAGATGCTCCAGGCCAGGTTTGCCATTTCCCCATGCATGCCATTTAGCTAACTGCTGCACCTACATATGGTCAGGTTTAAAGTAATGGGATGGACACTCAACTCTAATTTCTGAGCTGGGGACATAATACGGATGCAACTGGGGAAATCTCAACTGGTGTAATGCTGGTGGAGACAGATTCTAAACCAACCACTCACTCTCAGAGAAGGGAGCCTGATGGGGCAGGCTGGAGCCTTATTCCTCTACAGAAGTTCTCAAATGCATGATCCTTGGGGATCATTGCCAGCTGTTGTAAATTAGAGCAGCACCTAGGTTTCTCTAATTTATTGCAGGGCCGGGGTAGTTTGAGAATCAGGAAGCTGTAAGTGGCTCTCTGACATTCCCTTCTCCTCCATGCTGATCATATCATGGCACAGGAAAGAATCTGGCCGAGCATTCTAGTTATTTCATGAACAGAAGTTTTTTGATTGTCAGATTTCCTATATTAATATAATGAGAATAGTATATATTGAAACATATAGATTAGTATTGCCTTCAAATCCATAACATACTTGTTTCAAGCATCAACTTCCAATATATAAACTTTTATTTTTTTCCATTGAATTAAATTGCTCGGGATTTCTTATTTTTGATATCAGACTCTTTTTTTCTTTGAAAAACACTCTTAATTTTAAATTTCAGTAAATGTATCATCCAATAATTCATGAAGTTACTAGTTTTTTTATAAATTTAATCATAAGAACATGCACCATAAAGAGAGAGGAAAAAAACACCCAAACCCCTCTACTTCC